CTCTCTCTCTCTCTCTCTCTCTCTCTCTCTCTCTCTCTCTCTCACACACACACACACACACACACACACACACACACACACACACACACATCATATTTGCTTTCCGAGCATCAAAATTGAAAAACTGGGAAAATAATAGTACTGGAGAATTCATATCTGGAAATGGACATTTCTATATATTCTTATTCATGTTTTTTCCAATTTCCAACATCACTTACCCTGGAAGCAATGATAGCTCAGAAGTCGGCAGGGGCAATGGAACCAGCGCATCGGGCACGCCCAGGATGGGAACCACCTTTCGCAGAGTAATATCGTTCCCGACTGTCATCCTGCCAAAGAAAGGTTACTACTGGTGGGGACCACCTTTCTCAGAGACACCAGCACAACGGCACTGAACTGTTTTCTAACTCTATAAAAACACGAATTGCCAGTTCATACCATTTGATTGCGTGTTTACAAAATCATAAAATCATTCAAATTTTATTACAAAATTTCATAAACTTGCAATTTGGGCCGGAAGTCACCTCGGAACACCGGATAGCGAGAAAAGAAAATGCCAGTTCGATCAATGACAGCAGCGCACTGATAGTGGCTGAACATGAAACATAGCTTCCTACAATTCTCTCTCTTTCATCCAATTCTCTCTCTTCTGTCCAATTCTCTCTCTTTCACCCAATTCTCTCTTTTTTTCTTTCCTTCTTGGTTTTGGTTTTAGGTCTCATTGCATCGAAAACTTTCTGTTTTGCAGTTTAGAATCGAGAAAGTTTTGGACGGAATGAAACCCTACAAAAACCTATAAAACCTTTTGGTTTGAAACACTACAAAGCTTTCTGGTTTGAAACCCTAGAAAACTTTCTGGAATGAAACCCTAGAAAACTTTCTGGAATGAAACCCTAGAAAAATTTCTGGTTTGAAACCCTAGAAAACTTTCTGGAATGAAACCCTACAAAATTTATGGTTAAGGGTTTTGAATCCAACAAGACCAGAAAGTCCAAAGGAAAAGAAACAGAAATTTAAACCCACTCAGGAGAGAAAATTTTCAGGATTACTTTTCACGATCTAGTACTCGTTGACGAAAGCAAGTGAGCAGCAGGTGTGGGTTTTATACATGCCTACATATGACTAATACAGTATATACAGAGTATTACAGACATATATATGGATAAACCCTAGAAAACTTTTCTTTGAGTATATTGCATGGGTCCTGGAGACCATCTCACGCAAGTGTGTACATGCCATGCATCGTTCTCCCACACACAACGAACAGTAGTCTGATAATAGACAAAGGTAGAGAAGATGAGAACCGAGTTTCACAGCTTATATTATCAAAAATATGAATACAAAGTGTTTCAAAGTTTCCCTGAGTCCAGCGCTCATCAGCGCAACACCAATATCTTGCCAACTCATCAATATGC